AAGGCAGACGTTGTCTCATTAAACAAGAAATCCCGATATGTCCTGATGAGTTTTACAATACGAGGAGTTTTACAACCTCGGTTGTGAGAGTTCACAGCAGAGTTCAGTCGAGACTAGTGCCTGGGACTAGAAGCAAATCAAGGACGGCTTTGTAGTCACCCTCCAGGAGCTGTGGTGGAGATGGATGGACCATGGCTGCTTGAGGAGTTGGAAGGTTGAGATCCAGGCTCAAGTGCTAAAAGCATCACAGCATAACTGATGGGCACAGCCCAGTGGGAAAAGCAGGACAGAGACAGGCAGCCTGTGTGGAAGGATTCCAGGGGTAGCACCAGCTGGGTCTCCTTAGAAATCAGATAACAGGGTGGGTACCAGTAAAGGATTTGGAGTCAGGCAGGCCTGGGTTCAATCTCTGGCTGACTAGTGGTGTGGTTAAGTTACGTGTCCTCTCTGAACCTATTTCTTTGTGGATAAAATGGGGAGAATAATATTACTGGCCTCACTGGGTTGCTGTGAGGGTCGAATTAATACATGCAAGTGCTTGGGTTGCCATCAGCACATGGTGAGGACTCAACAGACATCAGCTGTTAGTGTCACTCCCCTGGGTACAGCTTTCTGAGCAGTGGAGGAGGATATTGGGAGGGTGCACAGACTTCCTGGCCGAGTCCTCTGTCCTCAGTGTTCCTGTTCCAACCCCATCTTGCATTCAATGGGCACAATCAATATGTATGTGCTGGGCCTGTTGCATCTCTGATTTCTAATCCCTTCCAAAACGCAGAGATGCCTTGTCCCTTTTGCAGGCAGGCAGCCTGAGCCTTGGGGAGGTCTGAAGATCAGCTAGTTCTCCAACAACGAACATCTGGCTCTGCTGAGCCATCAGAGTCCCTAAATCCTGCTGGCATGACAATGATGATGAAACAGAGGCAGATGAGACACACGAGGCAAGTTGGTGTCGCTGAAGCCAGCTGCTGGACTCTTCTGGACACACCCAAACCTCGCAGTGTCCGAGCCCTGGCAATCTGGTTCTCCAGTGCCTTTCCACATCATTCTAGCCTCACCTTCAACAGAGCTACACTGTCACCAGTCCGGGATGTGGTCAACACTCTCTTCTGTGGTCAGTTTCTTTTTTAAAACCATAAACGCACAGCTCAATTGCAAATGGAAGTTCAAATCCATACATTGATGCCTTTCCTGGGGGGGTGGGGGGGTGGGTAATGCTTAGGGCTTGTTCTTGCATTGGTTCTAGAACTTAAGGAGCTATCTTACCAATCTGTGACATTTGGTTCTGGAGGGAAAGCAACTGGGGATCAGGTGGCTTTGTTGTCGCATTACCTCTGCAAACCAACTGGCTTCTTTGATCCCTAAAACTCTTATTTTAGGCTTATCAGCCCCTAGTAAACTGTCCAAGAAAAAGATATTTTAAAAAATCTTCTGCTGATTTAACAACCATCTATCAGCCACCAATTCTATGCCAGGTCCTGAGCTGGGTGCTGGGGATGCCAAGAGAAATAAAGCACTGTCCCTGCCCTTAGGAAGCTCACAGTTCAATACGTGAGGCAGATAAATAACTACTTTGAATACAATTCACTTAGTAGTGTCATCAAACACTGGGTATGGTCAGTGCTCCAGTTTTTTAGAGGCCTCTGAAAACAAGCAAAGCAGGGAGAATTTTTTAAAAAATAATTTGATATTTGATTTCTTTTAAAGCAATGAAGTGGTTAGCATGGGAAAAATCAGAACTTTAAACTGTAAGTATAAAAACCCTTACACTTACAGTTTAATATTGCCTTTATTTTAAATTACTTATTAAGGAAATGGGAAGCATAACAGTCTTTTCAATGCTCAGAGCTGCTTAATTCGGAGAAAAGTAGCCAGGTTTGAGAACATTTGAGAGCATGAAACTGACAGAACTTGATGGCCACCTGATAAGGAAGGAGTTGAGGATGATCCTAAGGCTCCCGGCTAGGTAACTGGGAAGCTGCCAGTACCACCAGCCTGCATGGAGGATACTGGAGGTTAGGTGCAGAGCTAATGAGTTTGCTTTGGAAGGGAAACATCTATGTGAAGATGTCCAAGAGTCAGCCGGTTCTACGGGCTGTCTAGATCCAGAGCTTCCGTGGGCTAGGAAGCCAATAGACATATATCAGGAGAAGCATCTTGGCAGGAGAGATCTGTCTGGAAGCGTCAGAGTGTGGTAGTGGAAGAAATGGGCCTGGATGAGCTCACCCAGGGAGGAGTGAAAGGAAATGAGGAAAAGCATAAGGAATGGAACACTGCAGGAAGCCAGACTTTCAAGAGGGGAATAAGTGCTACTATTAGAAACTGGGAAGGAACAGCCAAGAGGTAGGAGAAAAAATCAGCCGAGCACAGTGTGCCGGAAGCCCAAGGAAGAGAAATTTTAAAAGAAGTAATCCAAAGTGTTCACAGTTTCAGAGAGGTAAAGAAAGAGAAAGCAGATGGGTTTGGCGATTAAGGGGGTCACCAGTGATCTTTCCTAGAGAGTTCCAGTCCTGGGGACAGAAGCCAGTCAGCAGGGATTGAATGGTCGCAGAGAAAGTGAGTTCAGGACTCGTCTGAAGAGAGTTAACTTGTAAACGAGAAGGAAAGATGGGATGGGAGCTACAAGGTCAATGGGGCCAAGAAGTCTGGTTGGCTTGTTTTATGTTAGAGATTAAGTTGTTTAGGGAAAACAAAAGACAGGAGAGTGATTGATCTATCATCCAGGGGGAGGAGGTAACTGCTGGAAGGTCTCTAGGGAGGCTGGGGGTAGGGGAAGTGTGAGGGCACAGATGGAAGGGGTGAGTGTCCAAGTTGAAGGCAGGTTCAAATCCTACATTCATTTTATCCAGTCATCACCGGGCCAAGGAAGGGAGACGGCGCAGTCCTGAGCATCTTTTAGAGTCAACGGCACGAAGAGAACACAAAATAAATGTGCTTCCCCCTCTAATGTGCCAAATCCTGCCATCACCTGTCACCAAGTCCACTTCCAAATCTCTGCTGCTGGCAAGGTCAAACACCACATGTAAATGCGGGATGGGAAGGCAGAGCGCGCCCACCAGAGAGCAAGCACCCCCTCCCCCAAGCCGTTCAGCGCTCCCACCCCCAACTTCTCTGCCAACCAAAGAGCTGCAAGCCAACCGATCTCTCCAAGGCAGGATTCCAACACAGCCCAGCAGTGTGCAAGCTCCGGTAGTCGGCCTTCTTCTTTCCCTGGGGGCATGACATGCCCAAGGGGCAGGGACAAATCGAGCCAGAAACCCAGCTGGATCATATTAGGGGTAATCTCAGGTCTGCTAAGCCAGAGCAGGGGCCGCTCCTGGACACACGTCTGAGAGGCCTGACAGCCGGTACCAGCGGTACCCCCACCTCTCATGTGGCAAGTCTGGTGACCAGCGGCGTCGTTGTGAACTGTGCAGCCACCCAGTGGGTGTGGGTGTGCGCGAGGCCTGAGCTCCTAGGCGCGCGCACCGCGGGCGCCCCTCTCTGGGTGTCGGCCGCTATGACTCTTAAGGGAACCTGAGAAAGTCCGGTCAAGTAGGGATGGGAGAGCTAGGGCTGGCTCGGGGCGCCCTTCCCGACCAGCAGCCCTAACATTCCCGGCTAAGGAGCTGGCGACACGGTCTGCGGGCACTGGCTCACAAGATGCTGGAGCCCAGAGTGGACAGAAGAGCTCGCCAGGGAAGTGTCGCAGTTTCCAAAAAGGGACCACCTAGAGGCTCGGATGGCTGAGGCCAAGCCTTCAAAGGTTCAATCGGTGGTTTAAAAAAAAAACAAAATAAATAAGTAAATAAAAAACCCAACACAGCTCCAGGCCGGAGGTGCTCTCAGTCAAAGCCTGGGCAGCAGGTGTTACGGGTTTTCTCCCCCCGTGGGTGTCAGCTTCCAGGCTAAATAAAAATGCGGCCCCAGGCATCGCCCGTCGGACCCGTCCCCACCCGGGGACACAGAACTTTCTAGGCTGTGGCTAGAGCTGAGCCTCGGAGGGGTGCAGGGGGTAAAGCGGAAGGGCAGCAGTCGAGGCCAGTGGTTCCCAGTGGGGACTGGGTTCTCTCCAAGGTCCGAGTGCCTTCCCGGTCCGCAAGCTGCGGCCACACATCGGCGAAGTTCCGGGACTCGCCACACCCGCCAGGTCTTTCCGCCTCCCCGACTCGGTCGCCGGGAGCAGGTCCCGCCGCCCGCGCCGCCGCTGCCGCAGACCCGGCGCTCGGCTGCAGCAGGGCGCGGGAAAGGGCACTTTGGCGCGGAGTGGAAACCGAAGGCAATGTGGCGACGCGGAGCCTGGCGGCGACACTCCCTCCCCTGCCCCCGGGCGCAACCCCCGCCCCCGCCTGCCCGTCGCTCAGCACCCTCCAGCCCCCACCTGAGTCCTCCAGCTCGGCGTGCTCTGGACCCCCGCCCAGCTGACCCCCCTCCCAGCCCAGAGCGCCCAGGCAGGGGGACACTTGGGGAGGCGGGTGGCGGCCGCAGTCTCCGGGCGGCTCCGGCGGGGGCGCGGGCTTCAGTTGCGAGAGAAATGGGCGGGGGCAGGGAAGGGCAGACCCTGCAGACGAGCAAATGGGGAGGGGGCGCGCCGTTCCGCTCCAGCCCCCAGGACGGGCGTGCCAACGAGGATCTGGAGGCGGGGAGGGCTCCCGGAAAGTTTATCTGGGAAAAGCCTAGCACCTTGGGGGCTGGGAGGCTGAAGAAACTGAAGCCACGGTCCGGGAGCCCCGCAACCCCGGGCGGGGATGGTCTGTCTCCCAGGCCCCCTGGCCGGATCCGGCCAAGTTGCGGCTGGGGGTGTGGGTAGCAGTGAGGGTGAGGGTGGCGGGGAGGACGGGTGAGGGTGGGGGAAAAGAGGGGGGGGCAGAGGCGAGGCTGAGCAGGAGGGTCGGCGTTTGAGAGGGCGGGAGGTTAAGGCGGAGGGCGGGGGGAAGGGACAGGGACCGGGTCGTGGATGGGTGGGCTCGGGGCTCGGGTGGGGCGCGCGGCGGCCGCCGGCTCCCCGGCGCGGCCGGACTTACCCGCGGCGGCCGAGGCGCTGAGCAGCCCCCAGCCCAGCAGCAGCAGCAGCGGCGGCGGCGGCGGCGGCGGTGTCGGCGGACGGCCCCAGCGGCTCCCGGCGCCCGGCACAAGCGCCGAAATCCCGGCTTCGGCGCGAGCCCTCCCCGCGGGGCAGACGCAGCGCCCCTGCTTCCGTCCCCGCGAGCGCGGCATGGCGCGACCGGCAGCGCCGAGGGAGAGGCTCCCCTCGCAGTGGAGGAGAAAGGAGGTCAGGAGAGCTCTGGAGCTTTTTTCTGCTCGGAAAAAATCCCGGTACGCGGGAGCTCTGAGCTTCTGCGGCTGGAATGAACCAAGTGTCCGCCCGGCCGGGGAGAGGCGCGCTGCGCTCTCGGAAATGACTCGCTCCAATCCCGCTTCGGGGGGTTCGCGCCGGGGGGCGGGGGGGTGAATTATCCCCGGATTAATCACTCCGGAGCCGCTTCTCCGCCGCTCCAAATGCTGGGGGTGGAGGCGCAGCAAAGGAGAAAATATTGGGAGGGGGCGGGTGTTCCTCTTCAGCGCCACCTCCACCTCCAGAGAAACCACAGATTACATCTAAAGGGTTGTTTATTCCTGTTTGTTTTACAATTGACCAGTTTCTTTTAAGTTCAGTTCTCTCGTTTCCATTTATAAGATCACCCATAATACACCCCCCATACACACACACACGAGCACACACACAGTGATATTGACACAGAGGCGCGCGCGCACACACACACACACGTACACACACGCCTCTTCCACGTTTAGAAATTAGAATACTGTCTGGGAAAAGGTAACCAAAGAAGGACGCGGTTCCCCAAGTCACGGCTCTTACGAGCTGATCTTGGGTGGTGACTTTGAACTTGCAATCTGCGGCGTGGGGCGATGCTTACCAGCCCCAGTGGCAGCAGCCTCCTACCCCATCCCAGGAGAAGGGCGTGTGTGCGTAGACCCAGGATTAAGAACTGGAGGGAAGGAGGGGCGGGGGTGGGGGAACCCGCGGGTTTGGCTCCGTTCCGTCCTTCTCTACCCTAAGGCAAAATCTCGGGATGGAGGGAGGCGTGCTTGTGTCCGTTGCGGTGGGGGAGGGGAAGTGAGGTTGGGAGAGGAACGGTGCAAGAGTTACTTGTGCAATTTATCCTCAAAATTAAATAACCCGGCTTCTTCTCATCCTTACCCTCCTCCTCCCAGCCCTGGCCCCAAACCACACGAGTTTCCCCCAATGGCGTGAGCCCCTCCCCACTTCTTTCCCGCCGCCGCTGCCGCCAGGCCCCAAGGGCTCAGCGCCGGTCCCCACCCCCACTCGGTCTCCGTCTCTGTCTCGTCCCTCGTAGGCTCCTCCGTCAGTCACGATGGCTCCTTAGCTGTCTACGCCAAACTCTCCGCGAGAGGGAACAGACGCTACGGGGGGAAGCAGGAGGGGCAGGGCCTGGGGAGGAGGTCCCCCCGGCGCGCGGGGTGGAAAGGCACTAGCTGGGAAACACCCTCCGCCTTTGCCCGAGGCACCCGGGAGAGGCTGCGCTAGGGGCTTTGGGGGGTTGGCAAGCCGGAGCTCTAGTATCTGCGAGCCCAGGGGGCAATGGCCCGCGGTCGGTGGGAGTTTCCGGGAAAGAGAGTGGAAAGGGCTATGGGGCTGACGACCGGAGTGGGGAAGGCGGCGGACAGGGCTGGAGGAGTGGATGCTTGTCCTTGCCCCCCAAGAAAAACTTGCTGTGCGGAGCCGCGATCTCCCGATCTCGCAGCTCCCTTGATGCCCGGCTCCCTCCTCCACCTCAAGTTGTTCCGGTTTCCCAGTATGAGCTCATCCCGCAGCTGGGGAGCCATCCCGGTAGCCCCGGGCCGGTGAGCGGCCTCAGAATCGCCGGGCCCCTTCCCCACCGCCAACAGGCTGGCTTTCTCGCCCCTCCCGACGCCGCCTCGCTGGGTGCCAAGAACCGACCGAAACGGCCAGAACTCCACAGTGAAAGGCCTGCTTTATGTCCCCGGAGCAGCGAGGAGGGGGCTTGTCGCTTCCCATTGTCCAAGCCCATGCCCCAAAAGAGAGGGCTCAGCCAGCCAAGCCTTGGCCTTCCCGCCAGCGCTGGAGAGAAGGGAGGGACTGGCTGGGCCGTAGGTGGGTGGCACCCTTGGGGGTGCTCTTGGTGGGACCTTCCCTGGGGGGGAAAGCCCTGGCTCCTAAGCTTGGGCCTCTCCCCTCTCCTGCCAGAGGGGTCCTCGAGCTCCAGCGGGCAGAGCCCTCCATTGCAGCCCACAGCTGGGCAGGAGAGAGTCTGGGCTGCTCTATAATTCTGGGGCTCCAGGCCAGTGGGCTTCCCCCACTCCCTCCTCAGCCCCAGAACTTTGCTCTGTGGCTGCAACCCACGGCTGATGTTTACCCCAGAACCCTCCCTGGCAATGGGACATTTGTCATCCTTCTCCCTGGGGGCCGTGGAGGGCAGGGACACCCTTTTAATTCCTGACACTGGCCCAGCTACTCACTTCGCCACCATTCCTCCCTCTCTCTGATCTATCTGTGCCCACATATACTTACTGAGGCCTCCTGAGCTCTGGGCCCTGTGCCAGGCTGTGCTGTGGGCAATGCAGAGATGCACAGTGTGTGGCCCTGCATGGGAGGACGCGGGGCACAGATGGAAACCCCCCCACAACCCAGGCAGTGCTAATCGCCAGGACAGAAAAAGGCATGTTACAGACAGTAACAAAGGCATGTCAAGACCGTAAGCTTTTCGTGGACTTGGGGGATTATAAGGCCACTTTAAGGAGGGAAGCAGAATTGGGGCTGGACCCTGAAGCCTGGATACGTTGACGAGGTGAAGATTGATTTACTCAACAAATAGTAATTGAGCATCATTACATGCCAGACACTGCGCTAGATATATACACCTGACTGAACTGTCCCTGGCTTGATGAAGGCAGGTGATAAATAAACAATTATATATAAAGTTACTAATTAAAGATGCTATAAAGAAAAAGTTCATAGTGGCTGTGAGAAGGACTACACGGGGCATACCTTACATAGGTGGTCTGGGAAGGCCTCTCTGAGGTGGTGACCTTGAAGGTGGGATTGAAAATTAAGATAAGCAGCCATGCAAAGAGTTGGGAAAAGGAAGGGCAAGGCCCTGAAAAGGGAGGGGGACTGGCAAAGGCAGCTGGGTCTGGGTCAAGGTGAATAAGAGGGGACACCTAAGAGATGAGGGAGGGGATGGGACCAGAGCCAGATCTTGCAGGGTCTCTTAGGGGATGATGAGGAGATTGGATCTTAGTCTTAAAAAGGGGGAAGTACAAGGTGTATTCATTTGCTAGGGCTGCCGCCATAACAAATAACAAAGTACCACATACTGTGTGGCTGAAACAACAGAAATGTATTGCCTCAAGGTTCTGGAGGCTAGAAGTCCGAGATCAAGGTGTCTACAAGGTTGGCCTCTTCTGAGTTTGCTCTCCTTGACTTGTAGATGGCATGTCTTTTCCCTACATCTTTACATTGTCTTCCCGCTGTACGTATCTGTGCCCAAATTTCCTCTTCTTATAAGGACACCAGTCATACTGGGTTAGGCCTCACCTCACAGATTTAGTTTTAACTTAATTACCTCTTTAAAGCCCTGTCTCCAAATATAGTCACATTCTGAGGTCCTAGAGGTTAGGACTTCGACATAGGGAGGGACAGAATTCAGCACATAACAGGAGGAGAGGTCTTTACAGATGGAGGGAAGAGAGAGAAGAAATGCATGACAGTCAGAAAATAGATTTAAAGAGATGCCCATCAGGCTGCGTGGAGTGTGACTGCTTTATCAAGAAGTAGTCTGAGGGCTTCCCTGGTGGCGCAGTGGTTGAGAGTCCGCCTGCCGATGCAGGGGACACGGGTTCGTGCCCCGGTCCGGGAAGATCCCACATGCCGTGGAGCGTCTGGGCCCGTGAGCCATGGCCGCTGAGCCTGCGCGTCCGGAGCCTGTGCTCCGCAACGGGAGAGGCCACAACAGTGAGAGGCCCGCGTACCGCAAAAAAAAAAAAGTAGTCTGAAAAGGTTCACGGCTCTGAAGACCAAAGATGAGGACCCTGAACATTTGCAGGCCAAGAGAGAGGCAGGAGTCCAAGAGACAATAATAGCCCTCCCCTCTCTAGCCTAGGAGAGTGTGACTCTCAGCCCAGCCCCCAGGGCTGGCTCCCTGCCTACCCACTCCTGTCTCCCCAGGAGCAAGAGGCAGCCATGGGTCAAGGTCTCTCCACAATATCACATTGCAAAAAGCCCAATGTGGTGTGGTGACTCACCTAGATAAGCCTAATATCCAGATAAGATCAGAGTTGGTTTTAGAAGGAAAACAGGGCCTGGTGCTCTGGAGAACTTGGCCTGATTCAAGTAGGGGCTGCACTCTTGATGCCCTGAAAGTTTCATTCTGACCTAAGAAGAAAATAAAAGAACCTGCCGAAGCCGAGAGAGAGAAAATGAGCCAGCAAATGGATGCTCTAGTAACGAGGGCAGAAATGGAGGCTGAGGGCTGAGTAGGACGGCAGCGAAGGGCTACAGAGCAAAGGTGAGGGCTCAGAGGAAAAGCCTGGTGTCTGAGTGGAGGGTGGGGATTTTAAAATGTTGAACGCGATGGGACAGAAGCTAGTATTTCCCAAGAGCAAGGCTGTCACCGTAGAGATGACAGTGATCTGCTTCCCAAGGAAAGGTGACAGAGACGGTTGAGGAAGAAAAAGCCCAGGACAAACTTGGGAGAGGCTGTGGGAGCCCCACAACCAGGAGAGGGATGTGAGAAGGGCCCACAGTCTGGACCATTCCTCCAGTGCTACCAAATGCTGGGACCATCGAATTCTAGCATTTCCTGTAGAAAATCCTGTTTGTGAAACAAAGAAAGGGACAGAATGCAAGTCAGTGGCAAAAGAGGTCAAATGTTTCCTCTGCTTGTCAGAGGACATAATCCACAGGAGAGGGGCTATGCTAGGCTCTCATCTCTACTTGAAGTTCCTCCAATCAGCTATGCTATTGTAGCCCCTACGCCTTCACTCTCGCTGCTTCCTCTGAGTGCAATACCATTCCTTCTCTCACTGTGCAGAGGAGATGATTCCTAATCACTCAGCTCAAGTGTCACCTCCTTCAGGTAGCTTCTCCTAACCAGCACCCGCAACACACACCCTCTGCTTAGTTAGATGCCCTTTGCAGCATGGCCAGCTAGCTGGACATCAGAGCGGTACGCCTCCCCTTCCATTGTGTCGAGCAATGGTTCTCCACCAGGGGTGATTTGGCCCCCAGGGGCCATTGGGCAGTGTCCACAGACATTTTTGGTTGTCACCACTGGAGGGTGCTACTGGCATCTAGGGGGTAGAGATGGTGCTAAACACCCTACATGCCCAGGGA